TGGTGGTGGTGGCCAGGTGATGGTGGTGGTGGTGGTGGCCAGGTGGTGGTGGTGGTGGTGGTGGTGGTGGCCAGGTGATGGTGATGGTGGTGGACTGGTGATGGTGGCCTGGCGATGGTGGTGACCTGGTGATGGTGGTGGCCTGGTGATGGTGGTGGCCTGGTGATGGTGATGGTGGTGCAGGTGATGGTGGTGCTTATGATGGGTGTGGTGCTGGTGGTAGTGGTGGTGGTGGTTATGATGATGGTGCTGGTGATGATGATGGTGATGATGGTGATGGCGGTGGCCAGGTGATGGTGATGGTGGTCATGGGTATGATGATGGTGGTGGTAGTGGTGGTGCATTCATGTATGATAACGGTAGGAGCATTAAATGTCCGTGTGATTTATAAACTCATACAATTGTCTGAGGTTCCAGAGAAGATACATAAACAGTTATACGAAGACATCATTAAGTTATAGGATTAAGACTAATATATCCGTTCTTTTACAGGTTGCGAAACGTAATTCGTCTTTGGAATCACATCAAAATGACGGGGAAAGTACTGCAGTATTTGAAAATGCAGCTAAAGAACACAATGACACCATTCCCGAGTCTGTGTTGTCTTCATCTGCAGAATCTCTACGTGAAATTGAAAATCCTCAAATAAATATCCAAAATTCGTCGGACATCGCTCGACCTTCTACATCTGATCAAACACAGTATGTAAGGACCTCACCCCGAGGCAAATTTGATGACGCAGGAGTGTCAAAACCCTGCATCATTGTATCACACAGTGATAAAGATAACAAAGAGGAGCTTTCAAGAAAACAGCTTAGTGATAGTGAAGGCGAGGAACTAATGCCTGTCAATATCACAGCTCCTTCACATGAACCAGCAAAAGAAGAAATAAATAACATGGACGAAGAAAATGATATTTCAAAAAAGGTTTCCAAAAAGGGAAAGAAAAAGGGAAAGAAGCTACGATCACCTAGTGTGCAGGGAAAAGGACTAATGGAAGTGAACAGTCAAACGAGAACTAGAATATCAGAAGTGAATGAACTTCCTCCTTTGGTCCCGAAAGGACGTAGACCATTGCCGTCTTTAGATTCATATAACAATGAAACTTCTCCTTGTTAAAACAGTTGTGTGGGTATCTAATGCAAGTATCCTCGAACCTTAAAATGAAGAAAAAGAAAAGAAATTGGTGACAACGTTGGTGAAAGCTACGGGCATTCCGTAATTAGGCCCGAGGTAACGAAGACTATTGCCGTCTGCGTTTCATATAATAATGAAGCTTCTCTTACTGAAGAAAACATTTCTAGTTCTGTGTGGATATCTAATGAAAGCCAGTATTATCCTCGAACCTCAAAAGAAACAATTAAAATTCGTGCATCGTTGGTTACACTGACTGAAGAAAATATCTCTAGTTCTGCTTGGATATTTAAAGTATTTATCCTCGACTCTCAAAAAAATTTAAATTGGTGCGGCGTTGGTGACATCATAGTTAATAGATTATCAACTATGGCGATATATACTGAAGAACACATTTTTAGTTATGAGTTGGAGATGCTGAGTGGATATCTAAAGCCAGTATCCTCGAACCTCTAAAGAAAATAATGAAATTAGTGCTGCCTTGGTGACATATAAATCTTGGATGTAGGACGAATACTTGACAGCCTCACATGCAGCTTTTACATGTGCAATTTGGATTTGGAATGCAAAATGAGCTGTATCCCATAGTGCCTATAGATAACATAACAAATCAACCATTCTAAGGGTTCAATAAACTTCTCGAGAGCGGATTTGTCAAAAACGCACAAAAATGGCCGCCATTTCCGTCTGTGCTCGCAGTTTCGTAGTGATCAGCTAGTTTAACGGAATGGTTGAGTTTGTTGACAACTCGTATGAAAGCACTTCTAGAGAAGCTTTTCTATTGGTTCGTGAAAAGGAAGACCAGAATTTCATGAGACCAACAAATTTGTATCCATGCATGTATGTAAATAGTAAAAATCCAAAGCACTGATATTTATTTTGCTAAAGCAAAATTAACCGCTGATGACCAAGTCATTTGAAGATTATTTGAATGTTTGTATTCGAACCAGAAACTGGAGACTACTTTCATTTTGTATTTATTAATAAACACTTCTCTAAACTTTAAGCCTTGGAATAAATTTTTCACAGCTTTAAGTTGAAGCTGGTATATACTTTACTCACTTCCATTAACCTGTCCATAAAATATTTAATTTATCAACTGATACTGATTGGTTTCAGTAAGTTTTATTTCAAACTAACATTTTAAATTAAAACATTTTATCTTTGCAAAGCACAAGAAATGGTACTTTTTGTTATCATTTCAACGTCAAGAAAGGCGTTTTATTTTCCTTTGCCCTCTACTCTTCTCACTTACACCTCTTTAAACGTTGACCGCCACCCGGTTGGCTCAGTTGTTTAAGCATCAAACTTTCATGTGCAAGAGGTCGCGGTTCGAGGTAGGGTGGCATCAACACTCAGGCCGAGGGTCTTTATAAATAACTGAGAAGGAGTTGCTGCTTTTGTAAAAACATCTGCAAATGGTTAGGCCTTCGCGTGTCTCGGATGAATAGCGTTCCCGTCTCTCCACACTACCTCACTCTGCATTGCAGGGACGTACCTGAATAACTGTCGTAACTAAGCTAAGGTCGTAAAGAAACTCTGGCCGTGTCGACCCTCCTTGTCTAACTTTTATTAAAGATTCCTTGAGGTTGATTATGAAATTACCCTGCAAACAGGAATAGGGTTAGAAATTCGTGCAATGTACCTTGAATGGAAACCCGTGTCCTATCGCGCAGCACTAACCTGCGGGTCTCAAATAAAATTGCCAACCCTATGTTTGAAGAAATATAAAGATAATAATTGTGGTTTCTTCATTTATCATCCTGCGTAATGAGCATTTGTTGCTCGACTGCATCATCAACAACCATTGTCTTGACTTATCTACCGACTGTCACTTTCACTCGACATAACATGACCACGTCCTGCTTGACGTTGAAGTTTAACGAGGCATGATTTCAAGCCAAACAAACTTTAAAACTTAGGGGACAATGTAAAATGGGTCCTACCTCTTGATGAGCAGAGCCCTTTCTTGAATGCATCTATTTTAGGTGGAGTATAATCTAACCCGCGGGACACGAAAAACTATTTTATCAATCTTTCGCTTGATGCACTGGGTGAAATTTCCTTTTATAAAACATAATGATTGTCAAATTCCATTGCCAAAATCCCTTTAATTAATTTTTAGGAAGACGATGTCTAGGAACTTTTTTTCTGGTAATATATTGGACTATTTCTACGTGACTTTTCAGAATTTTGACAGTTTTTTTCTTGAATTTGTTTTTTGAAATGTTTTTGTTTGGGTTTCTTCTAAGCTGACTTGCATTTTGTATCAACAATACTAATTTGCACTGACTATAACAAACAGTGTTCAGAAACGTACGTACGACTCATTATCACTGACCAGCAAATTCAATCAGTGGTATTTTGAGTATCTATTCAAGAGGTCTCTGTCTAGATCCAATAAATATTATGTCAACTCGGTGTTTTAGTTACATTTAAAGTGAATTTATTGGATGATAATCATAAGTGGATAACTAACAAGTATAGTTTTATTTGATTTTGTCAATATTTTGCTGCTGGTTGATGTAAATAAGAATAAAAGTGGTCCCAGGATAGTTCCTTGAGGAACACCAATTTTCAGAACCTGACTTTATAGCATTCAACAAAGCATAAATTGCAATAAATTATTAATATCAAGCAAAATAATTACAGTCCTTAAAAAATTATATAAACCAAGATAACCGATGACCGATAAAATAATTACAGTCCTTAGAAAATTACATAAACCAAGATAACCGATCATAACTGTGCATGTATAATAAGGCAATCAAACCGTCACCCAGTTGACTCAGTTGGTCGAGCATGACTTTCGTGTTGAAGGTTGTGGGCTTCGTGTAGTAGAACACTCAGGGTCTGAAGAGAGGGTCGAGAAAGTACTGCCTTCATAACAATATCTACAAATGCTATACTTTCATGTGGCTCGGATGATGATGACCAAGTGATATGACGGTCCAATCTCTTCACACTAATTTAATCTACATTGAAAGGACGTAAAATAGACACCAAAAAAGTAGTAAAAAAAACACTGGCAGTGACCATCCACAGTGTCTGGCCTCTACTAATGATCTACTAATACCAACTATCAGCTAACTAATTCATCGCGCATTTGATCATTAAGTTATGAAATTTCAGTTAGAGTATGTTTAACGTTAGTGTAACGAGGATTGATTTCCAAGCTATGGGTTGCCCGTGTATCGCTGCTATTGCTGTTGTATTATCCATTAAGATTCCTTTTTAGGGTATTCCAGTATGTGTCTATAGTACAAGCATGGATTTAAATTTCAGTCTTGGTGTTTATATTCCACAGTTGGATCACATATCATCAGATCTTTGTTTCACCAAATAGTTATTTCATGGATCATAGCTAGGATTCATTAGGTCAAGTTTCTCATAATATTGGCTTCCTGGACTCACTTTCCACTCTAGGGGCCTTTTATTAGCTTTGGTCGCGTTGTTTATTTCACATGTTTTCGTATCCGTGTTATAATTGAGGGATTGGCACAAAATATCAGACAGACAAACTGCCATACACTCATGGATCACCAATTCTTTGTCTGTGTAAATCACATGATCTTGTAACGCGTAATTTGGTTTTGTACTGCTGAACATTGAGTCTGGATCTTTGGCCTGTGACGTTTCTGGAAAAAAAATACTTTTACTTTCAAAAAATTCATTTTGAATTTATGATCACTTCGTAACACTGCTAAGGTGAGATGTTTGATATAAGTAACTTACTATCTTACTGAGGTATCAGTAGACAAATCCTTATAGATTGATAGATAAACTATATTCTAATATAGTGGCCCATTCAGTCATTTCATTAAAAAATACTACATCATTAAGGGCCCTAGTATTCCTTATATTTTGTGAAAATCAATGTATAGTAATTCGTGATTATAGTCGATGTAGATTATACTCTTTAACGTAACATTTATAAGACACATTCTGTTCTGAAATACATGGATGGCAACAAATACAGCGTTCCGGCATAAATTTAGAATCGACCTCTAGCTTGGGTGTAATGTTTTCCAATTTCAGACCACGTGTCATTCTCTAGAAAATAAGATTCTTTGTTTGAGGTGTACCCACATTCATTTGTCTTTACATGCACAACCGTTAAACAAAGAAATGATACTCTAGGGAATGACACGTGGTCTGAAATGGAAAAGCATTATGCCTAGGCTAGGTCTATTGTCATTAAATCCCAGTTTAAAACTTTTTTAGTTAATATTTTTTTATTATAACCGAAAAAAGGGAACCGGAATTGCATTATATTGATTTCTGTTATTAATACCTGCGCATAAAGCAGCTTTAACTTTGGATGTGAGTGAGCCTTGTAGTTTGTAGACATAGTAACCATGGCATCTTCTGACAAGAATTGAGGTATTGTACATACAGCAATTGTCATTCCCCCTAAAACATACAGTACGCTGGACCACACCGTGGTCAAACTGAGGATGGGCATCGGGCATCCAACCTGTGGCTTGAGTGGACCATCGCCATGGCGATACACAGGTGTTTGGAATCTATATGCGATGATAGAAAGATAAGAATGTATGTAGCCAGAATGCCATGTGATAATAATAAGTAGTCCTACCTTCATGGATACCATTGTCTTAGCATCTCGGAGACGAAACCACACAGACTCAATAGAGTTGTCATTCGATGCTTCAAGGAGGTTTTCGGTGACTAGGATGTCTCGGTGTTTGGCGCACATTCTGTAACTTCCTTTGAGATAATTAGCAGGTGGAAAATAAGTAGACGTGAGTATCTGTGGAAGGGAGACCCGGGATCCCCTTCCTGTAATTTTGGTTGCTTAAAGAGATGATCGAGGAATTAATTGGGGAATTCCTGGTAATTAATTGGGGAATTCCTGGTAATTAATTGGGAATTCCTGGTAATTAATTGAGGAATTCCTGGTAATTAATTGGGGAATTCCTGTTGAATGGTCACTGGAGCCCTCAATGGAACTGTCAGTTACAGAAAGGAGTAATATATGGGGAAAATTGATACCTACCTAAAACGTAGCACAAAATTATTCTTAAAGGGTTTGGATGGAAACAGATTTTGAGTTCTTAGTGACATGTTGATGTAACTCTCCAACAATTTCAATAAGAAAAAGAAAAAGTACCTTGTAATATGAACTGATGATAGTCTAATCCATGGACATTAGATGCTATACATTCCCACACTGCTTCACGATCTCTCAGTGCACTGCCACTAAACACAGATGTAGTGGTACTGTTTTGAAATACCACTCCATCTCGTGCCCATGCCACATATGGTACTGGATAACCAAATGCTTCGGGACAGGTAAGACTGAAGGGTGAACGCAGACCAAGAACTTGCACACTCGTTGGATTTTGAGGTTTGTTTTTAAGCAAAGCTAAAAGAAATAATGAGCCTTTTTGACCACTGTGTTATAATATATATAGTTTCACAGTAATTTTTCTAGCTCAAATATTGCAAGAAAAACCTTGAATATTTGGACAAAAGTTATTTGGTTAGAAATGAAATTATATTACGAGAAGATTAAACATTATTCGTTCTTTTACAATATATAAATATCAACGACATCAATATCAACAATAATGGGGGATGAAAATTCTAATGACAATAATCAGCAATCTTACTGAAATGTTGGATGCATGGATGTGTTGTTCTTTGGAACACTGGTTTTATATTCATCCTATCCTTTTATTGTCATTCAACTAGTTCGTTTTGTGAGAAGAAGAAGAGCAGTAATATATGGTGGAAATATATTAAATGAAATTACATAACAATAATCCTATTAGTTTAATTTCTGGAACTTTTCTGGAATTTTTCTGCGCTCATTCAGTATTTCATATGGTTGTCATAAAAAAATTCATTCAATTTCTCTATAGTTTTTCTCAAAGTCTCGAATTGATTATTCGTCATGGACATTGTATTTTATCCAATAATTGTATTTTATATTTAAAATTACCTTTGCTTTCTGAATAAACCTCTACTTCACATAAGGTTAGAACTGCATGCTGACTTATTATCCCAATATTCAAGTAGCGTCCACTTTTCCTTGGCTTACAGTAGAACGATGCCTTGGGTAAAGTTGCCATACTGTATAAAGTATCACCACACCGAGGATTGTCGTTGCCTTTATTCGTAAGGCTATTACCTAACATAGAAACGTGTTACAGAATGATTAGAATATATACAAAGTCAGATGGGACGTGCCTCGATTCAAAATAGTGTTCACGGGCAACTAGAAAGAAAAGTGTTTATACATGCAGTGCGGCTAGGAACGTAAGAACGAAATTCTTTGAGGACCAACGTTCTTGGAGTAGTGACGGATGGCGTCGGCATGCACTGTGCTCCGTTCACCAGTTTTCGACCAATAAGCGCGTGCGTACTATCCTAAGTATATAATAAATTGGAAAATGAAAGAGACTAGTATGCAAAAGGATAAAAGGGGGAGGGTTAGTCAAAAATTCTATTCACTCTCTTTCAATCGTAATACTAACCTATGCGTATCTCGAAGTTTGACAGTCGTTCACGAATCACGTCTCTGTTCACTATGAAAACTTCTGAAACGTCTCTTTTTGTATTAAAATCAACGCGCCACCAAGGGTTTTTTGATGGTACAGTATGTGTGCAGGTCATTGCTTCAAACCTTCCATCGCTGTTTCCATCGACTGCTTTCGAGCTATCTAATGAATGTGTACTTGATTGCGCAGTTATTCGGCCAAGCGCGATATTTTCTATGAAAAAGAGTATAGAGTAATTATAATAAATATGTTCTCATACAGCGCATTATAGATTCTCAATGCGCTTTACAAATATAACGATGAAATTGTTAAGTGATAAAGTAGATTAAAATTACAAATTGAACAAAAATGTTTTTAGTTTTCTCTTGAATATTATTATTATATTACATTATAGAATATTATATTATATCATTAGTAATTATAATAATAATGGCTCTTAAGATGATAAAGAGCAGTGTGTTGGCGTTGCTCTATAGGTAAATAAGTGAGCACAGCGACGTTATTGTTTAATTTAAATTAAAAGCTAAGTTCGCGACAGACGCCTCTTTTTTATGTAAGAGTTAATTACCGAGAACGGAGGCAGTAAGCCATAAGGCTTATTGCCGACGTTCCTATTAAGTTCGAATTAAGTGTTTTATTATCAATTGAGAAGGTTTTCTATCAAATGTTTATATATTTGACTAAAAAATAGCAAAAGATTAAAAATTAAAAAAAAGATATAATAAAAGTAATAATCTGCATGAGCGGGGCAGATGAATTTAACTGAATCGCTTATTATAATTGAACGCGAGGTTAAAACGTGAAACGTCAGTTGACCATTAAAAAATTCTTTAAAATTAGTGAAAAGGAATCGCTAAAATCTCCAAATAGTAGATAAACAAAAGAATACTTGTCTTTGTCGAGAAGGTTTGCAAAAGGTAAAGTGAAATGTAGGGAAAAGATGAAAACGTGGTCACGTTTGCCGTTTGTGCGGGAAGGAAAAACGGGAATCTTAATCTGCCTATTATACGGGTTATATTGACTTCACATTTATAATGAGGGTTATAACAAAAATAAAGCCTTGTGAATAACAAAGAAAACCGTGTCAATAGGCCCTTTGCAGTTTTGTTTTTATTTTCATTTGGTGATTCTTTTTAGCTACTTGTAAAGAACTGAATGAAACGATGTGTAACCAGTGTGTTACGAAATGCAGTTTTATTACGATCTCTTGAAACAGGCTGTAGAAAGTTTGTTTGCTCAACAGTATATTTCACCAATGGGAATCAAGATGTTCATTCATTTGCTCTCACTGAATTAATCAGCACGTGATTACTGAGCTGCAAAGGGCCTATTGATAAATAATAATACTTACATTACTTCTCTCTCTGGTTTTTCCCCACATATCTTTCCTATTAGTTTTCACATATTAACAAAAATTCTTAGGGTCTAATTCGAAATAATAACTATAGCACTAGGTTTGCTAAGGCTTGTAATGCAATGCTAACTCTAAGACAATTTTCTAGAGAAAATAAAATAATTTCCAGAGAATTAGCGATTTACGTATTGCTAAGCTTGGAATCTCCTTAAAACCTTTTATTTTCTTTATTCTATCAATATATTTTAGTCTTTTAAATCTGCAGTGAAGGATGTAACGATGGTGATGATTATGACGATCATTATGATGATAATGATGATGATAATGATGATAATAATCAATTAATAAAGGTCAACCTTACTGAAAATATCCATTTTCCATATGCTGGGTCACTTAAGCAGTGAATCGATTTATTGAAAGCGGTGAATCTGCATTGTGAGACTGATTTAGGGGACGAAATAGACGCCATCTTTAAAATAATGTATCCCCTAAGACTGTACCACATTGCCCTACAATGCAAATTCGACTCCGTGCATGGTTTTCCTCAACGAAGAAAGAAAAAATGAAATTTTCCAGTTAATAATAATTTGTCATAACAAGATTGAGAAAGCTTCAAAAGAAGACTTTTCTATTATCTGGTTGTTTTTTTTACCTGTTGGGTTTTTGTTCACAATCACTTCACAAATTCCAAGGCTTCTTTTTGCTCCCGTCAGGTGAATTGTAACGTATCTTCCTCTCATACCGGTAGGACAACTGAAGGCTTTCTTTAAAGGAGCACTCAATTCCCCAATTATCCCACATATGGCGTTTTTGGTACCGTCCTCCAACAGGCTGTTTCCTGTTTAGACAAAACGTTATGGATAAAGTTATTGCGCCTCACACAACTTCTTCCTCGACCAATACAGTCAGGAAACCGGCACCACTACAGCATGACCAGTTACTGTGGGCCCAAGACCAATATAACGAACGAGCTGCAATTATGGTTTTAGACCTATATATACAGTACAGTACTGCAAAGCCGCCCGGCGAGAGGTGGATAAACATATCATTTTATTTACTGTACATGCGTTTTACATGCTGAAATAAGTTTTCGTTCCTGTTTTTAAGCGCCTTCTTCAGCACCAGTGTAGGGCTTACATTTTATTATATAAGTACTTAGATTTACATGTTCGCAAGCTATTTGATAAAAATCATATCACAAAAACGAGAAGCGATTCTATTGGCTATACGTTTTTCTTCATTAGTGAAGAACATCGTATCAGCACTGTGATTGGCTATACGATATTTTTCACTAGTGAAAAAAATCGTATCGAGTTTTCCCACGCTTCATGCAGAAAGTGTCAGCTTGCTTTTGAGTGTTTGTTATCAAAAGTTCTTAAACATGGAAGGTCGTTGCTCAAGATTTGCTCAAATCAACTCAATCACTGAGTTTATTGAGAGCCAGGAAAACGAAAACACTAGAAAAAAGACACAGAACGATGTGGCACTCCTAGTGCTAAAGAACAGATTCTTGCGAAAGAACTCAACGAATACCTCAACGAATTCGTCCTCGGTGTCCGTAAGAAAGAACCAGCCAACGAAAACTACGAACCAAGCTCTCTACGGGCTTTTATAGCTAGTTTTGAACGATATCTAAAGAAGAAAAATTATGGGGGTGAGCATCATCAAAGACGCTGACTTTGAACAGACACGAAAAGCTTTGCAATCAAAGCAACGAGAACTCAAACAGAAAGGAAAAGGAAGTATTATATTTTTCGTGTATTAGTCATTAGGTTATTTTTTGATTAGTTTTCACTTTAATATTGAACAAGTACACAATTCTGATCTAAGTATACTTATATTTACAAGTTAATCACACTATTATTAGAAAGAGACATTTCTATTTCAGTTAACCAATTGTTCGACGGTTCAATAAATTTTTCTCTCAACTCCAAGTTCAAAAAATCTTTACTTGTAATATCTCAGAACTTATAAAATGAATCAATTACATCATGGTTAGTTCGCTTGTACGTCGTATGTACCTTACTGCGCATGTTCATGAAGAAAATCCCGTTTATTGCACCGCTATTACGGTCTGTCGCTATGACGCGGGACACCAAAGCGTCCCACAACGGGAGTCGACCGTATTTTCAATCACGGTTTCAGACCAAATTTTAAAACGTTTTAGCTTTTCTGATTTTCTTACCTACTCTAATAATGGCTCCAGAAAGTTCTTCGGTGCAGCAATCACTTCTACCGAGTATCTCAATTTGATCCACAATATAACTGTTCCCGAGATCTACTCTCCACCAGGGATTTTCTTGCAAAGCCGAGTGCATGCAGTATTCAAAGGACTCAGGGTTTTGCACGTAGTGAGTTAAGGAACTACCGTCAACTGCTTGTGATGCGAAACACTTTTGGCAGTTTTTGGGAAGTGAGCTCGCTACTGCCGGCTGACGCAGAGCAAGGTTACCTATAATTGAGTACAGGGAAATAAAGTAACTACCAAAATGCATAAATAATAGAAAGATTTGCTTTTCGATGTTCCTCGTGAGACTTTATTTAGTAAAGGAAGTCTTATTATGAATGAAGCAATTTTATATTAAGTTACCTGAACTGACTATAAAGACACAGCAGGTTAAGGTGGCCAGTGACAGCCAAATATCCTGTTATGAAACAGAAAATAATGAGTAATATTGAAGAAACCGTAGAAAACGCGCGCACATTTTGTGTGCAGTTATAGAGCACGCGAGGGGTCGGCTGAACAAAATAGAAGTGTTAGGAGTCTCGAGTGTTCTGCTAGTCTCCAAGTGCTTTATAACTGAGCACAGCATGCACAGCAAGCAAGTTTTTTTTTCTCTCTCTTATAAAATAAAAAATACAATAACTGTTATTTTGAATAGGAATGATGTAACATAAACCAACCAGTCGCTACTCAGTATTAGTAATTCCGAGGTTGAGAAAGAAACTTGGTTGAGTTGGCTTATCTTCATAGTTGAGATCAAACGTAAATTAAAAAACTATATAAATGTAAAAATAATTATATAATAAAACATAGTAAACTAGCAAATGCCAGTACTAGTATTTTACTGTCACAACCGTTCATTATTGATTGAAATATTCTTTTACGAACTTTTCATACGGCTATTCGTTGTTTGTGAGACAAGGTTTTGAGAACTTTGGTTCTCTATTTTCTTAATTAGCCGGAACCGTGATGAATTCGATTGTCAGGTTACCTATACTTTTTAGAATCTTACAAAAACACTCGTACTTTCCTAAACGAAATGTTTTCTTCCCTCTGTCCGACGGATAAATCCCTTTCCAATGGATATGGGAGTCCACACTGTTATCCAATAATTATATTCAATGGAAAGATGATTTGTCAAGTGGATAAGATTTATCAGTTGGATAGTGCTATATATGCACCCTTCGTACAACCGTACCTAGAGTTCATACTGTCAAAAGTGTCTGTACTACAACTACACCAATACTAGAGGCTGCACAGAAAAGTCAAGAAATTGAAGCCTTCTGTGCTGTTGTGGCATGAGAGGCGTGGTAATCGCTAGCGATTAATTTTCCATATTGAGATACAACGGAAAGTCCCCAAATATTAGTTTTTCAATATTGACTTGTTTTCTCTGACTTCTTTTAAATAATGTGGACATCGACTTACTTACCTTAGCCTCTAACATCTTGCTTCAGTTATTTTGATTAAGTTTTTGAGCGTTGTTATTTCGTTTATATTAAACAGGTGATTCTTCTTAATCTAAAATTAATGGCACGCGTAATATATAGTACAAAAACACCGTGGGATCTTGACCTCAGGAAGATTTGCTTCTATTATTTGATCACGCTTTTGTCCCTCAAATCCTTTCAAGCACCTGAGTTTTTTGCCCTACGACATTCCGATAAAAATCATACAAGATTTTACATTCAAAAGAAAAAATAAATTTGCTTTGATGGGAATATAGGAATTTTTTTTTTATGATCTCATCTGGGTACTTTGGTTGGTAGAGCTCCGGTAGAAAATCTGAAAATAATTTATTATAGATATTAAAGGTGGCGGTTAATTAGCAACTCCGCACGTCAGATTCTAAGCCGGATTTCATTTATTTTAATAATATCATGCGTATGTTCTTTACTTACAACTTTTTTTGTTGTCGCGAATATCTTTTGTAATAGCTATGCGTTATTTTTTTTCCAACAGTGGATCGCATGCTGATATACCTTCCTTACAAGTTTTTGTTCTCAGTTATCCAAAAAAAAACTTTTTATTAAGTAAAGGCTTATTTCATTTCTTATTCAAGCAGTGAATCACATGCTGATATTGATATACCTTTCTTCCTTTTTTTTTGTTCTTATTTAAAAAAAAAAGATTTTTAATCATGAACTAATTTGATTTCTTTCGGTTTCAAATAGTGAATCGCATGCTTACATGTCATGACAAAAAATTTTTTTTTATAGCTAAGGCTTGTTTGTGATTCAGAGAGAGAGAGAGATCTGAGCCACTCACTGAGAAAACATCAGGGCACAGTCTCTATTTTGTTAGGTCTGTTAGTGCAATAAACTAATTTGGCCCATGCAAAGCTTTATTCAAGGTTAATGCATAGACCAATGCGTAGAAAAAGAGAAAATAGAGCATACACTTGTTCTTGAAATTTTAAAATATTCGTTTTGTGAGAACAAATTTAAAAGGAGTTTGCCGCAAACTTGCTGGTTTAATGCACACACTTAGAAAGCTACTAGTCTCAAAGGATTCAATAAGTCATTCGGATTGAATTAAACATTGCACCTGTAAGAGCTGGAGACTTGTAGTCATATTGATTACCATATTTCGATTCGGTGTTTTTTTTAAACATTTTATCAGTGGAGTATAAATGGTATACTGCTAAATCTCCTCTTCCAATAAAACTATAGTTCAAAATACAATTTAAAGTATTACGACATTTGATTCTCGAAAACTCACGGCCAGTTGTTTTTCGGAGACTGTTTTGTCAATGCCTGAGAATCTTTTTCTTAGGTATGAATTAATAAGTTGAAATAACCATGAAGGAATGATTTTAACTTTTCAGTGTATGCTTTTATTACTTCCACAAAAAACATTTGGTCACCAAGGAAACCATTTCTTAGAATTTAGCATACGAGCAGCTGTAGCTGTAGTTAGTTGTATCTTCTCTTCTCTTCTCTTCTCTTCTCTTCTCTAGGTTCCAGAACTGATATGTTCTAATATCTTCTCCGTGTTCTGATTTCTTCTCTTCTCCTTTTTCCCACTTAACTTTCTTTAACTTTTCTTTCTTAAATAACTTGTTACAACTTGTTATTTTTTTCTCCTAGTGAGCTCATGAAACAACTGGAAGCAAATGAACGATGGTCAGTCGCATTAGGAAGTCAACTTGACATCAAGGATAGGTAGGTTAAAGGTAAGACAAAATATATTAAATCTAGTATTGCAGAAATATGGCACTGCCCGACGCACAGTTTAACGAAAAGCATTTTATCGCCCTTACTGCATTGGACTGCTCTGAGCACAGTTGAACGCTCTGGAATTTAGAGAAAACCTACTGTTGCCTTGAAGAAAAAACTTTGTGCGCAAATAGAAGTAGAGAAACAACAAGCAATGCTACTCACGTACGACACCGACCCAGGGAATCGAACCCAGGTCGCATTGATGTTGGGCGAGCTTTCTCACCGCTACCATCGGCGCCACCTGTGTTTTCAATAAATTTGGTAAATTTGTCGCGAAGCAGTTAACGCGGAGTAAAGGTTTAACTAGATCAATAATCCGTGTTTATGTATCTCGTTTCCATACAGGAAATCCCGATGCAATTTGAACAAAGCAACTGAACAGATGAAATATCACGTGACTATGGCAATTGATCCCGGAGAGGAAAGGATTGAAGAAGGGCACTGTATTCCAACTAAAAGTACGCCGGTCTAGATTCATTATTTGATGATGATTATGATGATGATGAAATATAATTTGTTAAACTGAGATCATAATTTTCTACCTCAAAGATGGTTGTCAAAAGGTGCAACTGATAACTAGAAATAAACTATCTTCTTTCTTTAAAATAAGAAATACGAATGAATCTATTTTTTAAAGGTTTTAGGAAAGAAGGGTTAGGTAAGTTTTGTTTAACAGACAACTTCAATGTTATTTACTTTATTTGCCCACAAAACTATCAAGTTTACATGATTTTTGAGATTTGAAAGCAAATTTAGAGATGAAAAGTTTGGTTAGCCGCATACCCAAAGAAATAAAACCAATATTGAAAAACAGCTTACACTCAACTACCACATCATGGCTATAGCTGTGATGCCATTTCTACACGAGCAAGTGACAGATAAAGGTAATTATGTAATAGTCCTAATATACACAGACCGATCCAGCAGACCACGTCATCCAAAGTTATGCAGCAAGCTCCACCGGTCTGAAGTGGTAATCCTCAACATGTTCGCCAGTATTGATGTCGTTTTCAGGTAATTTAGCAGCAACGAATGTTTATTGTTTATGACGCGGACAAATTGCGACGATTGTCTTTTTCTTTCTATATTCATTCATTTTTTTTCCTGCTTTTCTTGGTTCCTTTCTTTCTCTATTAATTTCGCGTCCTTTTCCTTTCCTCTATCTCTCTCTTTCTCTCTTTTACTGCGATACCGGCCGAGATTGGCTCGTTTCGAAGTCTTTTTTTTATGCACAATACATTCTATATATTTTAGTAAAAAAACTCCCTTGGAACATCCTCAAAAGGACTTCCGTGTTTATCAGCACACGTGTTCCAGCAATAATCGTGATCTCTTATCTCAAAATGAGACTTTCCAAACGTTCTGACTCCTTTATAATACATCTCTGCAAAGAGATTGCACCGGCGTTCGTCCTTACTGATACCTTGGATAAAGTACCAGACTTCCAGCAGAGCACTGAGGAATCGTTTACGTCGCACGTTGCCATGGAGATGCTTGCACATGTTTTTCATGTCCGCGAGGAATGCATCGTCGCACAGATCGCGTGTCCAGTTATAATGATGACCCTGTAAGTAATGAAGAAAATATCTATCGTAAGTTTTCAACCTCAATGTTTGAGAGTTCTGGACTAGTATTCTTCTACTGCCTAGCACACTATGCTCTTGATTCACCCGGACAAATACCAGGAAAGGTGGTCTAACCGCCACTAGGTTGGCTCATTTGGTTGAGTATCGGACTTTCGTGCGGGAGGTCGTTACTCAAGCCTTAACCGGACCAACACTCAGGGTCTTAAAATAGCTGAGGAGAAGACCTTGCGTGGCTCGGATGTCCACGTAAAATGGCGGTCCCGTCTCTCCACACTACTAACTCATCCTCCAAAGGAGGGACTTAAAAGAACTACTGAGGACGTAATGAAACCCTGGCAGTGACCATCCTCAGTGTCTGGCCTTTAATAATCATTTCTAATAATGGTTGATTGTGGGATGGGTATGGGGATCGATTTTACGGGGTTGGACATTGGTGCAATGTGTCGAAGGGAACCCTGTGTCCTATTCTGCAGCAGCAGCCTGTAGGCAAAATCTCAAATAATTATCAGAGTAAAAATCCAACCAAAAGGTTTATTATCAATTCTGCCACCTGTTGATGACAATGGCTTCGTACTGGTTCATAGAACTGGTAAATGTTGATCACAATGTCAAGAGCTTGAGAAATAATGTATCTTATATTCCCTCTATCATTTATTTTCTTTACTTTTTAAGGCCGCAAAGTATTACCTCTGTAAATTTTTCAAAACAATTTTTTTAATGATAAAAGGGTAAATTTTACACCGTGAAAAGATCAAAAAATGAAAAAATTTACTGACGTTTCGGACGCTAGTCCTTCGTCGAGAAAAAGCCTAGTAACTGAGGTTTTCTCAGTCTACACCTTCAAGAGACAAAACTTTTCACATAACTTCCATATATATTGGCGGTAAATGAATAGTTTAGTGATTGCTACACGGAGCAATTCTTATGACTCCTTTCTAGAGACTGACCGATGTAAGACAAGTTTTGCAGGAAAGTTAAAAGACACAACATGCGCCAATACGCTCTATTAGTTCGCCTGATCACTCAACCCACAAGCCTGTCCATCGATCCACTTCAAACACCAAAACCAAGACAATCTACTATAACAGAATACTTACGCATCCATAACAGATATCGTGTTTATTACAGGCTGGAGTAAAACTTGTTTTGTAAGGTGCCTCCATGCCTAACGGAACACTGCAACCATTCGAGTAACCATCCGCTGCACACTCACGAGTCGAGTTACTGAGACACCAAGAACAAGAAAAAAGCCCAAACGTCAAGAAGACGAGAAATTCTGTCACACCAATAGTTCTTATTAACAGCATTCGGGGTAACATCTATTGTACGAGATTCTAAAGAATGACTTTTCCATTGAAATAGTAGAAGGAAATCTTTCCTAAAGTTTCACGATGAAAATGATAGATTTAGTTTGACTCTAAGCAAATGACTTCACAACGTTCAAATATCGACGTCTTTTTTAAGACAAAATCCTTTGCCACAAATCTAATTCATTCAGTGATTATTTCGATTTTTGGTTTTCGACGAATCGATTGCCATTTTCCCACAGTTCTTCACGTAGCAACAAGAAATCGCTTCCAAGACTTGACCAATCAGTGGCCAACCTTCATGGTGATTTATCTTTATCCAGGAACTGAAAAGTTATAAAAATCCAGTGTCCTTACTAAGAATTAGGCAGCCATTTATATTTAGTTGTTTTTTGTTATATCAATGCTATAAATTGTTGATGATGCATGGCTGGTTATTCCATTTGTTGTCTGGTGGGATATCGGATTACGCATGCGCAGTTCGTCTAGGACCAAGCAAAAGCGACATTTGGTTTGGTAATCAAGGTGATCTCCTATAGGAAACTCAGAATAACCATGAAAATGTTTTGAATTGCTCACTTAATTTTTTCTCGTAATCTCTAGCAAGTTGGAATTTTCATGTTGTCATGACTCAACCTGATTGGATGGTCAGTGTTGCGTTTCATGATATGGCTAATAACATCAGAACGAATTGGATTCCTCACGCCTCTTTTACGTGATTGTTTTTGCATAATTTTATGAAAATTATTTTCAAGAACACCTTCCTTTTTCTACGTTTTGCGAGTTAAGAAAACCAGAGTCCAAAAATTATTCTTTAAACATTGAAACGTTTAGATCTTTTACAAGACTAAGATAGCTCTGATGGTCATCAATCAAAGCATTCTTATGGCAATCGTATCCAACATAAAGAAGCGCCCTTAAAATTTCGTCTTGCCCCGACATTATTTTTCGTTTGCACGTTACGTCATCGCGGCCATTTTGGTACCATTTAACAAAAGATTTCTCATTAGCATCCATTATTAACGGTACCACAATGGCCGCCATACTTTTAACTCTCTTGGGAGTGCTTGCAACCCATCAATACCATAAACAAACTTTGCCGCGGCGAAGATCCCCCGCGCGTGCAATTAAAAAATAGATGGCATGAAACTTTAGCAAAATTAATAATAGGTATATAGGGTCCAAAGTATCCCTAACAGTAAAAACATATTAATCTTTTTAGAATGGTGATTTCACTATCGGAAACCAATTTCAGCTTTTTATTAAAAAAACATGCAATTAGTACTTTTAAAATACATTTAATATTCAGGCAGCTTGAAGAAATTAATTCAGTGTTTTTCATTAAACGAAAAATATCCCTCAAATTAGTATTAGTTTTTTCTCTATAACGAGAGAAATTAAAGCTTCTTTGAATGGTTAAAAAACAGACAGTTTGCATTATGATACTACTACCAGAACCTTTTGCACACTTTCTTTCGTTAAGCCAATTAGCATTACTTGATATTTATAAAGCAATGAAAATTTAAACGAAAAAGAAAATGTGCGCTGCAATGATTGCTGGTAGTGGTAGTAACGCCATAATAAAAATGCCCTATCCACAGAAGGTTTGCGTAATCAATAGGCCCTTTTCTCGGTAACGCACTTGCGCGCATTCTCGGAAAAATTTAAAAAAAAAACAACATAAACTTCAGTAAAAGCCGGGTACATGTTGGAGGTTAATACGAGTGAAGAACTTCTTTTGGTCCTGCTGTTTGTGGAATCTTAAGCAATTAGTATGCAATGTCGAGAAAATAATGGTTCTGCGTTTCCGAGAAAAAGATGTATCGAGGAAAACAAACGATTGAAGAATTTTATTCCTTCCAAAATGAGCCGAAGGCTCCGTCTTATTTCTTCTCTTTAGTAGACGTTACACGGGAGGACTAGCAACGATGGTTCTTAGTGCAACAGTCTTGCGCAAAAGATACTGATGTCCCATATAATATGCAACGCAGAGACAAAGATTTAACAACACATTGCCAGCTTCAAACTGTTGCGCAAACGTCTGGAATTAGGGTCAGTTTTTGGGTCATATCATAAGAACTAGGGAAAAGCCTGGTTCTCACTAGCAAGCCAGCACGAGAAAAACGAACTTTTGCATTCTCTCCTCTTGCGTGTGCGTATGCATCGCTTGTTTTCATGGTCTTGGAGTTGCGTCTACTTGCGTTGCTAGAGACAACCAGGCTTAACTTATGAAGCAATCACTTGTGTAGCAAGAAAGACCAATCCTTCCTCCATATCACGACTAAAATGATCCAGCTTGTAGCAAGCTAGTAATATTATTTGATAGTTCTATAATTTTTCTGATATCAGTCATACTATTTCAAATATATTTTATAATACTAACCCCCCCTAAGCAATAGAAATGATTTTTCTTTCCCCATTGCAATTTGAAAATTTTTGAATGCTTTGTACAAATTACAGCTCTAATCCTGTATTACAATATTTTTAAGTTGGTTGGTATGACATTAAACATTATGGCAAATATAATCAGAGCCATAGCAGGGGGAGCTATTGATTGGACGGAGGGGTAAATCTGAATGCTGCAAATATGGTTCAGATGAAGGGAAGGAGAAAATGTCTTCACGAATTCTCTTGCCTGCTATGACAATGATGGTCAATTTACTCTTTCCCACCCAACTTTGTCACTCAACCCATAGGAAGATCTAGGAAGTTCAGTAGAGTTAGTTTAATCCTGAGACAAATAATTATTGCAGATGCCAAAAAGGCACATTTAGTGTGAGGACTTCAATCGTGTTCCCCTGAATAATGCAAAATGTACCTTCTTGAAGATGCCATATTTCCTGCATTTTTGAGTCGTTCCTGGCCAGGAATGGGGGTGCAAGAGCACCTAATGACTCTATCACACCTACTGGAGGCGCAAATGTATCCTTTATTTGTATTATTCAATAATTCCATCCCCATATTATTTAATATTTGATCTCTTGTGATCTCCATGTTATTTTATAGGTTCATAAAATGGACAACAGGTTGGTTCAGGTATTTGTACATCAATACCATAAAGTTCTGTCAAATCATTGAGAAACGTTAAATCAGCTTTGGGATCCAAACCAACTCGTTGTATTACTTCTGCCTTGAGTATTCTATCTGGGGATGATGCTACTTCGAATAAAGCTTGGAATAATGTGTTATTTAGATGAACAAAATACCTAAGGGAGAAAGAGGAAAGGTAAGAGGAAGCTAAAATATGGCTTGTGATAAGAAAATGTCTGCAATGGAATACTCACTTTGTATACATTTTTTCGTCATCAACAACTTCACCACCATTGATCAGTTGATCTCGCCTGACAAAAAACAATTCCTGTTAGTTAGATGGAAGCTCCTCCTAACATAATAATACCCTTCACAGCTTCCTGTGCCATTATCGCAAGGTCATCGTCAGTCTGGCTTCAATGAACAGTCACAGTTGTGTTTCAAGATGGAGCAGGGAACTGTGAAGGGGAATATTATAAAATGGGACCATGCATTCAGTAGCTGCAACGTACCAAAGGAGTGTGTAATATATAATGCACACAATAGTGCCTTACCTGTAAATATCCAGCATTTCAAATCGTTCTCGGTCAGCATGATTGGTGTGCGTCATTATATTGAGATATCCCTTAGCCTGTATATTTTGATTGTCTACGTACACATCCCAGACACCTTCTTTGGTTTCAAATATTTTTTCTGTTGTACCTGCAAAAGGGTTAAACAGGTATATCAGTGGATCAATCTGAACTGGAATTTATAGAAGATAATTGAAAAAAATTTGTGCATGCACGATCATTGGACCTGTTGTCTGTGCACATCACACATTTATTTGTTACTCTGTTACCAAGTAGATACTACATTTAGACCCAGAAACATGTCAAAACAAAACAAAAAAATTTAACAAAACATTCTGTAAATGGTTTATTACATATGTTTCCATGACCATCTAATCCAAAATAAAAGCATATGTACTTACATGCTATGTACTTGTGCTCATTGTGTAATGTCTCCAGGTCACATACATTGGTAAAGAAGAGAGGATTACTACCAGTTTCAAAACCAAAAGGGATTCCATGACTGGCCAACAGACATGCACAATAAACTGGAAGAAAATATTTACCACATTTTTAACATAAAGAATTATCCTACCCGTATGACAAGCCACACCCACTGGAAACTAGAGGTGAGAAGACTATGATTCTTCTTGGTAATTTGGATTTAAGGCTCAGGTCAAATGTTGAGCTTCACATGAGCCAACCTAATTGATACAATGGATAACAAGTTGGTCTTTGATATCATTAGGTTCGGCTCATGTGAAGTTTGACGCTTGACTTTAGTCTAAGTTTTCACCACTCAAATATTTTCACATACAAGAGAGTCCTACCTCTATAACAAGCCACGCCCACTGGCGGAGGTGAGAAAAATAGAATTCTCTTTTGTAACAATACAAGTTTCCACAATGCAAATAGTTTGTCTCCAAAGAAATTAATGAACTGTGGGAAGCAGCCTGCAGGATGAGTAATCTAGAAAGAAGTAAAAGGTAAGCATTTTACAAAGATTATAACACACCTTTGTATACATTTATAATAGGCAAGAGCTAGAATTTAATGTTGCGGCTTATATTTATAGGGCATGCATGGGGTGCAGGTGGAAGGTGTGTGGTGCCTGAAGGAAGGAGGGCCTGCAGCCCCCTTCCCTCCCTTCCTCCATCCCTCCAACTTCTTTTTTATGAGTGCATGGTTTAGTACTGACAGGGGCTTTAGTCCAGCTTCTTTAAAAATATTTAAATGTTTATTAATTGATTTCAAAATATATCTACCAATTAAACATACATCTATCTTTTCATCTTTCATCTTCCCCTCCCACCCCTCCCACCCCTCCCATTTAGAATTTTGCTCTGCTGTCTCTAAAACATAGGTGTACGTATGCATTGCCTGCTGTGTTTATTAACTGTTTTTTTTTTGGGGGGGGGGGGGGGGGTAGCTAGTTCTTAGATATTATATATTCATGCACCTTTAAGACAGGGATCTCCTCCAGTCCTGGTAAATGCTCTGGCGGTGGTGTTGCTACAAAGTTGTTTCTTACTATACAATGTTTAAAACTGTGGTAGTAATTTTCAAGGTCTTCATAGTGACCAGGATTGTCTAACTGCTTCCTGTCAAATATAGAATTGAAAGTTAAATTTCAAGTTAAATATATATGCTGACTTTTGGAATAGTACTGTGAAATCCAAATGTGTAAGGGTGGATCCAAGGGGGTGGATTGGATGGTCAGCCACCTCCCCACCCCCTTTAGGAGATGAGATTTATTACTTACGTCACTTCATCCTCCAAGAAAGGCAGGTGCTCATGTAGTGATGTGTATCTTGCACATAGAATACCAACAGACTTCATCCGGGACCCTCTTTCTTCAGCATTATCAACTGTTATCCTCTCAAAGCAACTCAGTCCAAATAAATTATCCTTAGTTTTGAAGTATCTAGAAATGTCAAATGACAATATTTAATAGCATTAAAAAGATGGGTGCTGATGTTACACCCCATGAATACCCTCCTCATCCATCTCCCATCATTATTTCCCATTATAACTAAATTTTAAAAATGAGCAACAAATAATTTTATCAACAGCATAAGACTCTCTTCATAGATTTAACAATCACTTACATAAAATCCTGTGTAATGGTATGTGAACCACTTGCTAATGCCTTGAATTCCACCTCACTTAACTCAACGTCTTTGGGGTATTTCCATTCTATAATATTACCTAAATAAACCAAAGCAATCACATGAACAAACAATATAATACTCAAGCTTGGAAGGGAAGACATAGGCTAGCCATCCTTGGATTTGTCCCAGTTATTTGAGAGATCAAATTCTTTTTCTTTAATCATGGTTCATATCAATCACTTCTTCACATCAATTCATATCATTCAAGAGTCGTAAAGGTTATCGGACAACTAGAAAAGTAAATAGTCTGCATGTTATAAATAGATTTTCTTTGATTATCTAAAAAAAAATTCTTTGACTATCTAAAAAACATTTTTACAAATAGCGTTCAATATGATATTGTTTTTCATAAGGATGTGTCTATTTTCGTCATGTATACTGCTAGCATTAATATTTATCCCAAAAAATTGCGACATTATCGCCTGACAATCCCTCATTCATGCTTGAAAATCCACTTCCGGTCTGAAATCGTAGACGATGCTAGACGATGTCTATAGTAAAATCCAGTCAAGACTAATACTATCGTCTTTATAAGTATTATCGTGCAGATCAAAGTATTAACATTATCATCAAATTTATTGTATATTTCAAAGCAGATAATATATCTAAAAGTTTTAAGATAATTAAATCGAATGACGATCGTACGACATCACGCGCAAAGGGGGTGGAAAAAATCTAAATCTCAAATCATCGATGGCTCTCTTTTTGCGTTGAATTTTTCGCTAGGAATACTAAAATGTTTAGATATAAAACTGTCATTCTTAAATCCCCAAAGAAAGTATCCACAATCTACAAAGATCGTTACATTAAGTAATAGGGTAACTATTTTCTATCTTTGTTTTGTTTTGGTTGAGTGTTTATAGATGTACTGTTCATGTGATGTTCGCCAAACACAACAAAAATCATATGTTCCATCGTCAACAATCTCAACTGAAAATCGTAAAACTACATGAACATAAAAACATATAATTTATGCGCAATAGATGAAGAAACAGGCCGGTTATAAGATATCCTTCTAATATATTTATAAATAGATTCAAAGTTGAATCAAAGTGGTATAAAATTCTTACCCTTACGTGTGTCGAAATGCACCACAAAAACAGCAACAATCAAATCCGGAACAGTATTCGGCTTCGGAGCGAAAATTTCTACATCATCTGGTAAAGAAATGTTAGATGGTCTCTCGATTTCCCTTTGAAGGGAGCTTTGGTGAATATGCCCTCGTGGATCATACGATACATCGGGTAATTCTTCGGCTTCGACCAGCGCCGAATCATCCGCCATATTTTAGTGATTCTTGTGGTTAGACTACCTGTCCCTGGTGGGACCCCTGTGGAATGTAATAAAATGTTACTGAGTGGGGAGGGGAAGGTAGTTTTGGTAATTTGAAATTCTAAAAATAGATTACGATTAAAAAATATTTTTGCTTCTTTTGAATAGGATAGAATTTATGATCTTAATACAAAAAGTAAAAGAAAGAAGTAAAACAAAGTATCAGAAAAAAAGATAAAAAAGAAAACAAAAGAAAGAAAACCGCGCATTTTTAGCAAGTACCGCTGTAAATAGAAAACGTGGGCGCACGTAGTTCTTAGAATATTTTTTTCAAGGACGGGAAACAAAGTGGAGAAAAAAATACCTTTTTCTGTAACTTTTCTCGTTTATAATCCCTCCAAAACCCTTCCTAAGATTTTACAAATGCTGAAGACTTAAAATGCCAAAGTTCATAGCTCAATTGACAGATATTTCTTGCTGATTATCAAGATATTCAAGTGTAAAATTTCACCTACACTGAACGACATTTTTATTCTGGTAAAAGATGAATGAAGAAAAGCAGCCACAAGTGTATTTGGATTACAACGCCACAACTCCTCTAGACAGCACTGTTCTTCAATCCATCCATGATGCTCTGCGAGATGCATGGGGTAACCCTAGTAGCTCCCATCCTCTTGGGCGCAGGGCAAATGATGTCATCAAACAGTCACGTCAGTCCATTGCAGATATGGTTGGAGCACAGAATTCTGAGATCATAATTACTTCTGGGGGTACAGAAGCTAATAACATGGTATTCCTCACTGCAATTCGCTATTACCAAGAATTCCTGGAAATGTCTGAAAACCATGCTCTCAAAGGATCAAAGCCACAGTTTATAATATCCAACCAGGAACATGATTCTGTTTGTCTTCCGGTTGCACATTTTGCACAAGTCCAGGCAGCAGAGGAATGTATTGTTAACGTTGAAAAGGATTCTGGGATGGTAACTGCACAAGCCATCAAGGATGCCGTCAAGCCCAATACATGTTTGGTTTCTGTTATGTTAGCTAATAACGAGACTGGGATTATACAAGTAAGCCAATGATGCTGTATACTGTTTAGTCTGAGTGGTATCACAAAATATCATACAAGGCAATGAATACTGGTATATATTCTTGAGGTGCATTTACGTCATAGCATCCATGTTTCATTGGTTGACTATATAAAGCATTCCTCATTAAGCTTCTTTCATTATATCAACCAATTAAATTGTGGCTATAATATAACATGCCCCCAAAGAATATATACCAGCCAGTTGATATAATTGTTATTTCTATATCTCAAGGGATTTTTCAGCTACATGGTTGCACTCCAAAAATAATAGGAATACAATTGATATGTGGAAAGGGCTAAAAATAATGACTGGTCAGTCACTGGTCATGATCATATTTGCCAAATTATAATTTTAACTTGACATACCTTATTTCTGGCTCAAGGTTACTGGTCAAAGTGATCGACCACAAAGGCAAAGATTTGAATAGTTTCAGTTCTGGTTGAACGTTGGCAGATAACTGGCCATTAGTTACAGCCCTGTTGTGATATGTCATGATTTACCTCAAGAGACCATTGTGTAACTATTTTATCCTCACCATTGAATATACACCTGCATGATGTCTGATGTGAAAGAATAGTGAAATACCCCCTAATATGCAACCTTTTGCTTTCCTTCATTCCAATCTATTGTCCATATTTTCAATGGTATGAGATAAATAGTCCCATGCATTGGCAATATAGTTTTTGACAGCTAGTCAATTAGTTTATGACCTCAGTAGTTACAACCATCCTGCATTGAAAATGGATAAAATGGGGGACTGTTGGCTCACAGCATTAAAATCTATTATACAGTATTAATTTAAGCTACATGTAATATATCTTTTTTTAACTTCAAATTTTATTGATACACTGAAACAAACATTGGGCTGATCTAGGGCTTACCCACACTACTGATCAAACTGAAATTGGGAGAATTGATTGGTTTTGAGGAGGGAGAAGAAAGTGGGAGAACCGGGAGAAAAACCCTCATATCAAGGGAGAGACCAAACAAACTCTACTCTAATATGATGAGACCTCAGAAATTGAACCTGAAATCCTAGAGGTGAGAGGTGGCGCTAACTCTAGGCCACTTTGAATTCCCAATATACAGTAGACAGTTTCTTCAAGATTTCCATAATATATTCAGCTGCTGATGTTATTACTCTAGCTAGACATAATAATATAATTAATGAGTTATGAATAGTTTAGACAGCTGTCAACCAAACTGCCTTCATGACAAGCAAAGCATATAAAACAACAATAATTATAATACTTGTCTTTAAAATATTTGTTCAGCAACCCAAGAAAAAGAAAATGAATAATATTTGGATATGAATGAAGGGTATCATTATGTTATAAATTTGTTTTAAGGTGTGAACTTCAAATTCCCCAACAAAATATATATCCTGTGTTGAATAATAATTGAGTTGCACGACTTCCTGAAAATGAGAAAGGAAAATAATTTGTTTTGCTGATTTACTATTAATATTATTTTCAACTTACAGTATCAGGGCTCGAAATAGCAATCTGCCAACGGCCAAATGACAGGACAAATTTCAGGTTTGCCAGGCGAAAATAAGGATGTACTGCCAGATGAATAATAAAATGGCATGCAAAATTTACTGGAATGACCTCCTTTGACCATGCTCCTTTACTATGGCAGGCTAATAAAGTTTTCTATTTCGAGCCCTGCAGTATTTGAAAAGTCTATATGTTTCTCATCATTCTCTATCATCAACTTTAGCCCATTTCAGAAATCACCCAAGTCATTAAAAGTCTTAACAAAGAGAGAAAGTTAGCTGGATTCCCAAGGATTCTGCTGCACACAGATGCTGCCCAAGCTATTGGGAAAATAAGAGTTGATGTCAATGATTTGGGAGTGGATTATTTAACGATAGTGGGCCACAAGTTTTACGCTCCTAGAATAGGTATGTCGCAATGGGTTATTGACTAGAAAAACAGTGGAGTTTCATTATCTCAGACTTCAGATATGTTGTACTTTTTTTTCTGTACCATAGACTTGCATCAATGGAATGTTAATGAGGATATTTTGTATTTTAAACCTTTTTACTGGATTAATACAGGATCAAGATAATGGGACTCCAATAATGGGGTTAATGGGGAATCAGGATGATGAGTTAGTAAAATGCTTGACTCTCACTTCTGAGGTCTGGGCTTTGAATCCCACTCGCCTTAAGATGGCTGCCTACTTTTGAACATTGGATTTGAGCCCACGATGTGCGCGCGCTCAAAAACTGCTGAATAATCTACAAGATTTTATTGAAGAACCATACGGGCTTTGAGCTTCAACAGGGCAAAACCCTCAAGTTTTGCATGGGACTCTCTGTTTTTTAATAGCTCATTCGAAAAAACTCCTAAAAAATCTAGGTTATATCAACATTTTAGAAAAAGTTTATATCAGTAACACATGAAAAAATAGATTTTTGTAGGGATTTTTGTTTGACTTTATATGAGATCCAAATCAATGTATCTCTTTGTCTTTTTTTCGAAAATATCTATGTATTATTGTAGAATGATTGACTAGCTGTCATTCTTGCAATCATAGTCTGCAAATAACTATTATCTTATGAATATTTTTTCTAATCACTTCTGGTGGCGCAAGTTTTGCTCCAAAAGCTCACGCGTAGGCTTCCATTAAATGCTGATTATCTCGAAAACAAGCTTGGGACACCCAATTTTTCTTTGCATACTTGTAATCACCATTAAATTTCAATTCGGAAAATCGAAATTAAAAAAAAAGTTTAAATCGTTTTCCAAAAGTAGACAGTCACCTTAAGTGAGCTGAGTTGGTTGGTTCTGACTCAGAGGGTTTTTCTTGCCCTCCGGTTTTTTCTCCCTTCTCTCAAATCAACCCTAACTACAGTAATTCACACTGGTTAGAGCTGTGCTCCGGGGTCATACATGGACTGTATAGCAACTGTCAGAGGTGTCTTCACAAGCTTTCAGTTTGATCCAGTTGAGCTGCTTTGCTTTGTGGTGATTAGGCGATGACAAGTTTTTTTCCCCAATGTTTATCTTTGAATTACAGAGAAATGAATAGGAACTGTGAATGGAATGGACTGCCTATACTCTCTCTACTCTCACTGGTTTGATCCCCTTATAACCCACCATTGTATGCAAGTAGAGTTGTTTATCCCTCCAAAATGATCAACCCCTAAAAAATCCAAATATTATTATACATGTATTCTATCTGACATAGAAATGCAGTAGCTTAACTCAGATACCATTTAGTAGATCTATGTTCTCAATATGAAATCACATGCTGTAGCATGTGTAAAATAGTGAGTCAGGCACTGAGAAGACTGATGAAACTTCATCAATAATTTATTGCCGGAAGGTCATCTGTCACACATGTATCAGCTAGTTTATCTTACTTCATTCAAACTAATGCAGCTTTCATTTTAACATCTATTTTCCTTCAACTTTCCTTGTACAAATTAAATCTTAAGTCAACAAGAATATTCTTCTGAGCATTTTTCATGGGCACCTATTATTTCCACTCATGGTCAAAACAATTTGCAGTTTGATCCCTGAATCTGCATGTACATGAACAGTGTACCTTTCTTGTCACTTTGTTCAGAAATAAGCTACTAACTATTGATCGCATAAAATCAAAATATCCTCCCAAAAACGTGCATGTGTGAACTATTTCACCATAGCCTGTATAGAATTGTGACACTGTATAGTAAAAAATGCTTAATATGAAGAAATGAACCCCCGACCAACTATGATTAGTATACCATTAAAAAGGTAAATTAAATTTCTAAATCTGCATGTACTCTACGACTTAGTTGTCACGTGCATTTGGACAAGAATTAGGACCCCAATAGTTTCCTATGGCTGGATGTTATTTAATAAGTTATTTTTTAGTAAATATGTTCATTTTTTAATACATTTATCATATGTTCATCAAACTAAGTTGCCACATTTTTTCCCAGGTGCCTTATATGTAAGCTGTCTTGGAGAGAATTCAGGTCCTCCGTTGTTTCCAATGTTATTTGGAGGTGGACAAGAGAGAAATTATCGTCCAGGAACAGAGAACACAGGGATGATTGCTGGCCTTGGACAAGCAGCTCAGCTGGTGGTTGAACACTTAGATGAATATCAAATTCACATGAAGAAGGTTAGTCTGTGTGCAGTCTAAAAATCAATTGATATAACTAAAGTTTCCATGCTATCAGTATTATGAGATCATGCCCTAAAATTGAGAGGTTGAGCACACTTTATTAGTGCACTTTGATAGCTGAGTCGTGTTCTTGTATCATGGAGAATCAAGTGTGCATAGCACGGCATTGCACTCTCCTATCACCTCTGGGCCTTGGGTTCCTTCCCTGAATTCACCATGTAAGTGAGATTTGTTAGGTTTCTCCCTTGATTTGAGGGTCTTTCTTCAGGTTCTCAGGTTTTCCTCCCTCCTCAAAAATTAATGAATTCCAATTGATCTTTGGGTTTTCACCTAGTAATTGGAGCCAAGCTCTGTAAGTTGTGATTGATCCATTCTGTCTTACTCAACCCTTAATATTTTATGCTTTCAGGTAAGAGATTATCTTGAAACTCGACTAGAAGAAGTCTTTGGCAGTGACAACATTCACATCAATGGGAAGTTCCCTACAAGTGAAAGGCTACCCAACACCTGTAATGTCTCATTTATTGGCAAAGATCTCCAAGGAAGAGCTGTGTTAAGTAGAGTCAAGTACCTCTTAGCTAGCGTAGGTGCAGCTTGTCACTCTGACAGAGGATCAAAACCTTCTCCAATACTAGAAGCACTAGGGATACCTTGTCATGTTGCAATAAATGCCATTAGAATGAGTGTTGGTAGGGAAACTACTACAGGAGATATTGACATTGTTGTCCAGGACCTTAAAGATACGATAGATAGAATGAAGCAAGAAGCTGGTAATGCAAGCTAAAACGAAGAGTTATAAATGGTTTTAGAATTCTATTTTATAATTATTTGAAAGTAAATGGTTTGAAAAGCAGTCAATCAAGATACTGTCCCTACATTTGGGCTGTTCCACATCATGTTTATGAGACTGCCTTAAAGCAGATCATAGTTGATATTAACTATAAACTATGAGCAGATTGAGTGGCTAAATGAGGGATAAATCAAGGTCTGAATTATTTGAAATTAGGGTTATACAGTAAGTTGTGTACTGAGTGTAATAGTCATCCAGAGAGGCCTGTTAATGAGAACAATAACAATGGCTGCAGTAACAGCAGTTCTTCTGAAGACAATATTAACAAATATATCATGCTCAAAACACTGCAATTATCATGGTCAATGATCATAGATGTTTTGCTTGCTAAGAGCTCCTCTCTATCTCAATAGAGATAATGGGGCCCTCGCTAGTTGGGTGAGGTCACAGCTCAGTAGATAAAACTGACACTCTGATAGAATTATATTAAAAATAAAAAGATAAAAATGAAAGAGGAATATGAAAATATAAAATAAAGTCATTATACAAGAGTTCAGGAGTTCCTTCTTTTTTCTTTGTCATTTTTTAAAGAACTGTGATTTGCTGGTGTCTCTTTCTTCATCTTGACTTCAAAATCTTGTTTGTCTTGGTTTTATTTTCCACACTTGCTTTTGGTCTGTTGCCATTGCCAAGTTAATTATGCAGAAAGTATTAAAAAGTTCTTCACTAAAGATAATAAACTTGGAGAATGTTTCAGTTTTCAAATGTTTCACTTTGTGCAAAATAACATCCCATTCTTGAGGGGGAGGGGGGAGTAGGTAATTACTTTAGGTAATAACAAAGACATAGAAACTTAAATCTTCCTGTGAATATATTTTAATTTTTAATTTTCCAGTTCTGTACTAAACTCAATTAATAATTAGTAATTAGTATTATTATTACACTGAGTTTAGTGCAGAACTGGAAAATTAAAAAATATTTATTCACAGGAAAATTTTATGTTTCTCACCACTAATTCATGCCACCTTGACTGAATTTAAATGTTTTAGGCCGCTTTTCTTACCCAGTTTACCCTTGTGAGAAAAATATCTTCGTATATTATTTCAGAAATCATCAAATCAATTCTAACTATCTTAAATTTAAGAATCAACATTTTCAAGACTATGGGCAATGGAAATTTACCCTTCTAAGGCTGCATTCATAATGTATGGCAGAGGGGGGACAGGTGAAATTGAGGGGGGATCGGGAAAATTTTGGTAGGAAAAAAGGAGGTATGGGTAAATTTTTATCAGAAAAATGGGGGGATGCACAATTTTTGGAAGAAGAAGGATCTACAAGCCTTGGGGGATTGTATTTTTTTGCATGGGAAAATGTTGGTAGGAAAAAAGGGGGGATGGGCATATCTTTATCAGAAAAATGGGGGGATGCACAATTTTTGGAAGAACCTACAAGCCTTAGGGGGGTTTGTATTTTTTGCATGACTTTAAGGGGGTGTTAAGAATTATTCTGGACATTTCAAATTTTCACCTGCCCCTCCCCCCCTCCCCCTTCTCTGGAAGGAAGGAAGGAAGGAAGCTTAAGAATGACTAAAACAATGTTACATATCTTGACATTTTCTCATTCTGAGATAACTCATAAAAATAGTGATTGGAAACGATTAAGTTGTGAATTATTCTAGCATTTGACACCAGATCTATTGTCTCTCTTACTCCACTCCAGTTGTCCTTCATTCCATTCCTTAATTTATTCTTAATATTCAAGCTACAAGCTATTCACTTACAATATTAGATAAAATCATACAGCAACTTTACACTATAAAAAATCATGATTTGAAAAAAAGGAAAAAGCTGGTGCAAAAAATTTGGTGGAAACAAAAAAATGAAAATGCACTAGTGGGATGAGGCCTCTCCACAACAAATACATCTAATACTAGCTATTTTCATAAAAACTTGCAAAACTGATGATTTTACATCGAATAATTCTTTTTCTTTTTCGGATCCAAAATATTGAGGAAAAGATTGAGATTTTTACTATTAGCTCCAAACTCCGGAGTCCTTTTGTTGCGTTTCCAGTTTTTCCTAAAGAGTCCATACCCACAATTCCTCACGAACATCTGAATGTCACGTGATATTTTCGCGGGCTTTTTCACACGTGAGCAAGAAGCTGATCGACAAAGCTGTTCGTACAAAATGTCGGAGCCATCAACACCAAAGGGGAGAAAACGGTCGAGGACGAGTACGCCAAGTAAGTCCAATAATAAATTTTGAAAGAAGAACTATTAGTAATGGCTGACTATAAATATGAGCACGATCGGTTAAGTTTTAGGGTAAAAATATGGCAATACTTTCCGGGATGGAGTCAAACACAATTTTGTACATTTCGCTACGAAATTTATCATTTCAACGATCGTCGTGTTTTAAGCTCTTCCAATTCAACAAAGATTAAATGAACTAGAATTAGTATAAATGAAGGTCTTTGTCCTTCGTTCTGTCAGGAATGATGAGATCGTGTTCGTCTGTGTTGTCAGAGTTTTAACGTTCGCGGGAACAAAGACTCAAACAACCATGTTTTAGCTTCGAAAAAATATTTCATCGTACCCTTTAGCTTTATTAAATAACCCTTACTTGCTATTCATTGATTAATTATTTTATTTTTTCTCGGATCATTTTAGTGTTGTGTGGTTTTTAGCCAAAAATCTTTGCTTAATTTCTAGGTCATGCTTGGTTATTGTAATTATTTACATTTGCATAATATTAGTATTTATACAGATAGCCAAGTTAACTTTTGATATTCTTTTATTATTTTTACGTTCTTTACTTCATGTCATGTTCTTTATTCATTTTACTATGCTCCTATTTTCATTCTCCTTTGAAGTGTAATAAACCAAGACCTAAGTTTACTAATGTCAATTGTTTTCCTATGAAGGTCGTTCCACTCGCAGCAGCCGCAAAAGCTCACGAGCTGGGTCACCAGAACCCATACCAGAAGAACCCACTGCCGTCTCTCCACCATCACAGCGTCGTCGCATAGATGAAGCTTCATCCCCTCTACCTCTTGCCCCAACCTCACCTTCAGTGGGTCAACCAGATCAAGACCATTCACTGTTCTCTTCTCCACAACAAAGAGCTGGAGTGGAGACCAGCGAAATTGACTTGAGTTCACCGTTGAATTATGGGACACCAAGTTCACGACTGGCAGGCACACCAAGAGGAAGCATGTATCCTTCAAAGACTAAAAAAAATTGTTCTTTTTCACAATGGTAGCCCTTTATAGCCAGCGGTTAACAAACCTGTTGTTATATAATCAAATTGTAATTTAGAAGTTGATTTTTGCAGAGGGAGGAAAACTGAAGAACCCAGATAAAAAACTTAGTACAGGAGAGAACCAATTAGAGACTCTATTCTGTACAACAAAGAGTCTGGGTTCAATCTCGGATTGCATTGGCAAGAGGCAATAGCAAGAGGTGCCTACTTTTTAATGATTAAAATATATTTTATTGACCTACTAAAACAGCTTGCTCTATTTGTCTGTGAAAATGTATAAGCTCAATTTTCTTTAACTTCAAAAAAACCATTAGAGCTGGAACTCCAATCAGACATCGGACTGATATAAGAAGTGATAGAAGAATGCGTCAAGTCAACATAGGAGAGCAACCAGTAAGTCTACTTACTTCTCTCAACCAACTATATAATAGAGTGATTTTATTTGGCCCATGAAACCGAAGGTGTATAATTAGTGACTAGTATTAATACTGAAACAAAAGAAAACAATGGTCTACTATAACTTCATTTTACACGGAATATTCTTCTAGGGGTGAAGTAAAATCACTCTAGGTAGTTGAACTTCAGTCAGTGTTCTGGAGGTTTTGGAGGCAAGGGGTCATAAAGGAAGTGAGAAGGGTTGAGATCAGGTCTTGGCATTCCCCAAGGTTTTTGTTTAACTGGGTCATGTAGTCATCACCGAAGACCTCTGTCATCTCCAGGACACTGCAAATCTAGCTTAGAGCAGATTTGACATACAATGGCATAGCACACAGTTTAGTGGTGGTACGAAATTGATGGCATCCTAAGAACCAATCACATTCGTGAGTTCATTACTCTGGTAATGGAAATGCTTCATGGGCATCGCATGTCACATCTGAAAAAACTGGGATTTTTTTCCATTCGTGTGAAATTTGCTTACATGTAAAAACCCTAATGTGAACCCAAAATGCTCATAGCTTAAAGTGTGAAATTTGCTTACATGTAAAAACCATAATGTGRACCCAAAATGCTCATAGCTTACAGTTGTCTCATAAGGATGAATGTCATGGATGATATTTATCTGATCAAGCTTGATGAGAATTCTCCAGGCTGCCTTTCTTTTGAACAAGATTGCTTATTCCTTTTTCACACATCCTTATTGTTATGACAACTGGTGCTATTTTCAACAACAAAACTGATCAAGCACAGTTGGGAAGGAGGTGTACTTGTGAGAGCGTTCGCCTCTCACCAATGTTACCCAGGTTCCAATCCCAAGCGGCTCGGTGTTGTATGTTAGTAGAGATATGTGTTGGTTCTCTCCTGTGCTTCAAGGATTTTCCAGCTTCACTGGTTTTCCTCCCTTCACAAAAATGAACTTCTAAATTCCAATAGGAATTGAGTGGATGAAGAGCCACTCTGTTAAATACCACTGTTAAATTCCATTGATTAATCTCATTTATCTTTCAATGCTGTAGCCATCTGATGCCACAGAGCAACCCACAGGTGTCACAAGTGAATCAGGACAAGCAGCTGCAGCAGCACCATCTTTGGTTATCTGGGGCACCGATGTCGTAGTAAGTGAAACAAAGAGAAAATTCACCAAGTTCCTTAACGAGTTTGTGGATGAGAATGCTGAGGACATGGGTGATGGCTTTGATCCTCTTCTTCCTCTTTACTTGCAAAGATTGGATGAGGTAAGACACTACTAAGACTTTTTTTGAATTTATAAAGGCCGGTTTAGACCATACGATTTTTGCCTACAACTATCGTATACAACACGCTCGCGTCTGTCGTAGGCGAGTTGTAGGCTTGATTTACACACTACGACTCAAGTGTTAGGATGGCACGAGCGTGTTGTATACGATAGTTGTAGGCGAAAATCATACCGTCTAAACTGGCCTTAAGATACTGCTATTTAAGGTATGAGAACTGGGTAAAGTGGCTGTCATTTCTACAAAATTTATTTACACTGTATCCAATACACGTAAAATAGTGCTTCACAATAAATATATAGATAAAATTTCCTTTCCAAATTGCATGTCAAAAGTGTGAAATTTCACACCTAAGGTGTCAAAAAAACGCAGGCAACCCAAGGCTCTTTTTCAGTAATTTATTAATATCTCTCCCTAGAAAACGTTATAAATAAAATAAAACTTGAGCTATGAAAATAAACTGTATAAAGAAAAAAAAATTAGGCAGCCCGGAGCAAAATATTTTTTTGGCGAGCTTAAACTACCGTGACACGGTTTTCAGTCGTAATATTTTATCAACATTTGTCTTTGCTCCGGGCTGCCTAATTTTTAATCTTTAAGGTCTATTTAAGCTTTGTTCCAAATTTAAGGATAGTATGATAAATACAAAAGAGTTTATCAAAGAACGCGTGAGGGAGAGTGGTGCTTTAATGCGCTAAAGTCGCTATAATTCTTCAATTTTGGATTCAAACAAAAGAATTCGCCGCCATATTGTTTCTGACATCGAACTACGTCATGACTCACGATATCAAGCCGATTGAGCCACAAAAACTATCGGAAAACTTCGGTTTTATATCGCCCACGCGTCGCTTCATCCGAATCCCGTAATGCGTCCCAAACAAATGACATCATACATAGCAACGGCCTGAACGCATGCGTATTTCAACAGTGAAACACGAAACCACACCATAAATTTGASGACAAACAGCAATCTACTTATCAATAGACTTTCTTCGAGTGTTTTAATGATATATAGTAGYATTTTATACAGTAGTTATAGAAAGTATATGTTATTTAGCTTATCAATGAATGTAACAGAAATATGAATTAGAGAAAAGTATATATTCAGACGCAATAAGTTTTGCAGCGTTGCTTAGAATAAAGTTCGAAGGTCAAGGTATTGGAAACCCTTCGCGTCTGTCCTTCTCAAACCAAGAGCTTCAAGAACGTGGTTGGGAAGTCGAAAGGTCCAGCAAAGTTTTTAATTTTACTGCAGTTACTCAGGCAAAATTTGTTTTATTCATCGAAGGCGGTGAGGCAATACTTAATCGAACAAGAAACAAGCACAAGTGAATTCGAAACAATTTTAGCTGCTAGCCAGACTCAAATTTCGATGTTACTTGCTCCGCGTGGGCCCCGAGATGTTCATCTCAAAGCGCATGTTCAAAAGGATCAATTACCAGTGAAATACTCTCGCATTACACACGAAGTAAACAAAATGGCTTCCTTCGATACAAAGTTTAGCACCGTTTTCTAAGAAAACGGAACAACTAAACTCCGAGAAATCGAGAATATGGATTCATATTATCGTAAGCAAGCTAACTAGTTACTAAAGAGTGAGGATTTTTTTCCAGCCACAACTCAGGTCTCATACCTTAATGTGTATCGTTAGGATGGCTTAATAAACACCAGCTATCTTGGATGCAAATTGGTCTAATTCCAACACTTGACCATCCATGCGGCAGCCATTTTACATCATCATACCCATACACTGTTGGGGAACCAGAGGGAACCCATTATACTACATAATGCATACCAGGACTTGCTTTAGAACTAAACATAACAGATGGACAGGGGAATCACATGTTGATCAGTCTGATGTGGCTATAGTCATCATGTCTGGCCATTGCGCAGCCGTTATTTTTAGCCCCACTCTTATCTGTGATAACAGTTAATGAAACTCACTATAATATGCTTTGACTACACATGCCTGGTGCTAAGATTTGGCCAAAAAATTGCTAGCACACACTTCCTTTTGGTTAGAATAGTTAGTAATATATATATATATATTCCTGCCTTTTGCTTATGTTTTATAAATTATTTTTTCAGATCCATGTACTAGAAACTCCATTTTTGAACATCGATTGTTGTCAGCTGAAGCAATTTGATGCTGATCTGTACAGGCAGCTTGTTTGCTATCCGCAAGAAGTCATCCCTACTTTTGACATGGCAGTCAATGAAATCTTTTTTGAGAAATATCCAGATGCTCAGCTTGAACATCAAATTCAGGTAAGAGAAAATATCAAGATGGTGCATTCCAAGGTTGGGTTGAATTAAAAATACTGTACTTTATCTTTTCAGGTCAGAACATGTAATGTGGACAAGACTAAAAACATGCGGGCTTTGAATCCAGAAGGTTAGTTATTTTTGTCATGCAAGTTTGATTATTTTACTCATTTTGGGTACATTGTGTGTTTAAAAAATTGTGCACTATTAAGATGGTTGATCTTTTCATGTCTTTCTACATGTGTTTCCCTCAAAAGTCTTGTTTTTATTCTAGTGTCTAAAACTATGTCTTCTCTATTTTTCAGATATTGATACTCTAATCACTATCAGTGGCATGGTGACCCGTACTTCACAGATAATACCTGAAATGAGAGAAGGTAAAAGAGGACTATTATTTAAGACCGTTAAATTAGATCCCTTACAAAATAGTCTTGCGTGTCTAGCTAACAGGAAATATGAAAGAAATGGCAATTGTTATAGCATTCTGGTAAAAACTTTTAAAGTGCGGACACATGGTGCAACATTGCAAGCAATAAATTTGAATCAAGGTGACATACATCACGACAAAATCCTGCAACATCACTTGTGTCAGCTCGCTATGCTAAGATATTTAGTCAGCAGTTATAAATTTGGTGGAAGCTGATAGGCTGGAAATTTCAAAATGTTGCACACAATGTTGCAACCATGTTCACATGATGAAATTTGTTGCGAGCAATGTTGCAAAAGTAGAATGTGAGTCAACTTCAGATTTGTTGCATGCAATGTTATGTGCAGGGGTAGACACACACTGCAACAGTCCTGTTGTGTGCAATGTTGCATGCAATGTTGCACCGTGCATCCATACTTTTAGATTATATCTTAAGCCTGGTTTTAACTTAAGGCAGTTAATGCGTGATATTGTGAGCGAAAACTGCTTGTCATAAGTGTAAGCAAAAGCAAGGGAAAAGAAAACCTTCTGACCTTTCCGCTTCTGACTCGTATCCAACTCTGTCTTACGAGATATTGGACATATAAATTATAATGTATTGTATAATATAGTGATAACTTTTCTTTATTTGTTCTAGCATTTTTTCAGTGTTATGTTTGCAAATCAACTGCTAGAGTTGAAATAGACAGAGGCAGGATTGCTGAACCAACTATATGCCGTCACTGTAACACCAACCACAGTATGATGATTGTTCATAATAGATCACAGTTCAGTGATAAACAAATTGTCAAATTACAAGAATCTCCTGGTAAGTAAGAACGATTAAATTAATGTAGGAATTTCAATTAGAATTGCTTTAAAAATAAATGCCCAATATGTCTCCCTGACCATCAAAAGCCAACAACCTTATGAAAGAAATCGGTCCATCTACATACTGCTAGTTATTATTGATAAATAATGATACTGGTGCTATTTTAAATATTATGAACTAGTATTTGTTATAGAATAGAGCCTCTAGATATCATTCAAGTACATAAAAATCAATGACAGCCTAAGAACAATAACATATGTACCCAAGAACAATAACATATGCACCCAAGAACAATAACATATGCACCCAAGAACAATAACATATGCACCC